GCCCTCTAGAGTGTACAGGTGCTTGCCCTCATTCAAATCCCATAGCATAGCTTGTTCATCCTGTAAAAAAATTATGTTTTTGAATCAATGCCATTGAATTGAAAGTATTTGGTACTACAAAACACATGAACATTAACACAGATAAAAATTGGACATGCTATGAAATGAAAAATTAGCTATTAGCAGACCAGGAACTCAAAATAAACCAGAGTGAATGCAGAACCAAGATGGGCCCATACATACCGTATAGTAATGGGATAACAGAAAGTTAAATAAAAGAACAAATTTACAAGATATTTCCATTTTAACATAAACCTTAGGCCAAATAAAATTAACTGCTAGTTTCACTTCCCCCTTCCTTTGGAACATCATGAAAAAATTTACTATTTGGTATTAAAAAAAAAAAAACAACAATAATTTTTCCATGGAAAATGAAAAACACAAAGCAAGTTATCTGTTAGTTTAACGCGGTGGATGCAAAACAGCGGCTGCATGACCACAACTAAATGAAGGTACTATATTCACGACAGCCGGCTAGCTGGTGACCTAAAGGCAGACGACTGTCAGGCACATAACAACTCCCTAGCTTGGGTTTTTCTAACAGGGAGCCTATTTAGTCCTATGCGATTATTAATCAATGATTTCGTGTTCTCGTCTATTAAGTAATTTAAGAATGCACCAAGTGGGTTGCTTTGTTACATATGTACGTACTGTAGAGCAGAGTCATAGGCATAAGTTGCAGTTTAATCTCCCTAGGCTAGGCCCACATCGTAAGTCCTCGATCATCGCAGTGAAAAATTTGGGTGACAGACGATCGCACCCATTTCCAGACGACTGGATCCAAGCCAATTTTCAATAATCATCGCTGGGACTTTTATGTCATGATACATAATTATGCTGAAACTGCATAAAATACAGGTTTTCTACACACTATGGTTCCACTTTCTCCCAAAAGTTGTTTTTTTTCCTTGCTCCATGACCCGTATTTACTACAGTATTTGTTTACCACAAACCCCTTTTCATTATTGGATTCCTCCGGGAAAGCTTATGACTTTGACTCTGTTTATGTCATTATTATTGTGCTGTATTTTGTATAATTACCAAATGAAATGAAGTTATCTATCACCACTGGTTTGTTTAAACTCTTGTGCTGCAAATTTTCAATTGCAAGTTGCTTTAAAAGCAAAATTCATCTATCAGAAATACCACAATTTCTGAAGATATCATTTAAAAATTAACTACTCACTTTGCCACCAGATGCACAGAGGGAACCATCAGGGGAGACAGTAACACAGTTCAAATAGCCAGTGTGTCCCATGTGGTTGGTCTTCAATTTACAATTGGTAAGATTCCACACCTACAATGTACATAAAAATACAAATGAGTGAAATTATTTACATATCTCTCATGTTTAAATTCACACCCCGTTCTGCTCTCGATGTTTCTTCCTTTAAAATTCAGACCCTAAGGTGCAATATCTTCGATCAGTATCTTGAAGAAGGTGCAAGTGCCCACTAGAAATTTCATAAAGACAGCTTGGTGTTGTGAACACAAGTTTATAAATGCTATCAATTTGATATTGCATATAAATTTGATATGAATAATCATCAAACTTGAGCTAAACCTTCAGGTAAACCTGCTTTTTCCTATGAAATACTGTAATACAGTTGAAAACAACGTACGTATTTGAATAAACGCCACAGGGCATCTATTGTTGAGAAGGGTTTTGAGGCGGGGATAATTTGAGGGATGCGTTTATTTTTTTGTATGTAAAATGGACACATACTGTATACTCAAATAAACACCCCTGAATTGCACTGTAAATGTTGAACTACAACACACAATTACCAGGCTAGAAAAAATGTATTTCTACTAGAGTAGAACATATAATAGAATGTGTTCAGATTGATAGTGCTTCCATTAGTTTGTTTACAGTGGATAGTGAAACATTTATTTCATTGAAAATTTATTTTAAAAAAGGGATTTATTCCAAATGAGGCTCTAGTGGGGGATTTATTCAAGTGGCGTTTATTCAAAATGGGGGGGGGGGGGATTTATTTGAATAAATACATATGGTATATACATTTTCATTTTTGCAATTAAATGTCTAAAATGATTAAGCTTTTCAAGAATTCACAATACTAACAATGAACTAGTTATAAATTAAGACCTTTTTGACTAATTGAATTTCTTACACAACCAATAACAAATTTGAGAAAGTATACAAGAAAAAAATTCTCTACTATAAGCAAGTAATGGGCCTAGAATCTTTGGATACATATGCCTGGTAATTGTGTGGGCTAACCCCTTGAATCCTGCAGTGCTAGCAACACCACTGACAGCATTTCTTGCTCTTTACGCTATACATGTTTTAACAACAGTTGTCAGCCTGCAATTTACAATTTAACACAAATGAAAGGCAATTTTGCACTAAATTATGTTGAGCATACCTTGACATGTTTGTCCCAACCACATGAAACGATGATGGGGTTGTTGTTGCTTGGTGAAAATCGCACACAAGACACCCATTCCGAATGGTTGTCCTCCTGAGAAATATAATAGGTAAAATACAAATAATAAGCTTTATTTCCTGAAAAGGCTTTCCAATAAACAATATAATGTACAAGATCAAAGATTTTTTTTTTAACTTAACAGGAATAATGACCAAATAAGTGATAAACTTAGACACCCATCAAATAAAATAAGCCTCACCTTTTACTAATTCATTACTTCTGACTATAAAAATGTTTGAAGTGATTATCAACAGATAGGTAATATTCTGAAATACAGTACTTTTTAGTTATTTTTATAAGTGACTTAATATTTTTATTTACTAAATATATTTGTGTACAATCACGATACTAGCATGTGATGATTGAAAATAAATAATTGTATGACGATAAAGAGGAAGTGAGGGGTAGAGTAAAGGAAAAATTAAGAAATACAGAATTTTAGAATAACATCACAACTGACGCTGCCATGAAATTTCAAAATAACAAATATTTATTTGTCCCTCACAATAAAATAAATTTAAAGCAAAAAAAAAACATGGGCCAACTGTTAAATGATGTGTACCAAGTGCCAGGTTACCAGTACGCTTTAAGGACATAATGAGAACTTCAAAGTAATTATGTTAACATGCTTGCTATAGCACCTTATATACATACCTCAGAGTGCTGTTTTAGAGTACATAATAACAAGAAAACAATAGGCCTACACCCCAAATCTAATAAATACATCCTAAGACATAAATAAAATAAAAAACAACCAACGGCAATTTTTTTTATATTTTTTTAATCCTTCCTACAACTACAAGATGATAACTAACATCTCGACGAGATTTGACTGACAGATAAATCGACTAATCATCGAGCCTCATTTAGTCACATGATCAAAAACTTTTTCTCAGACATTTTAATTTCCTTAGACAACTGGTTTAATAAACGCGAAACATACGTGAGCCTAGGCCTAGATGTCTATGCTTGGTCATAGATACCCAGATTTACATGAGCAGTGCGCATCAGTGACTTGGCCTTTGTTGACAACAAGTTTGACTGTATGCGGCTTTACCCTCTTGGTCACCAGTTACATCAGGGGTACATCAGGGGTACTGCAGGGCGGCTTCTTACAGCCAACTCTCTTTCTAGTTTATATTAATGATTTAGTGAAAGGCATCAGCTCAAATCTACGGCTGTTTGCCGATGACAGCATCTTATACACAGAAATCAAAAGTTCTAGAGATCAGATTCAAATTCAAAGTGATCTACAAAAAGTTTTCAACTGGGCTGAAAAATGGCAAATGTGCTTCAATATTTCCAGGTGTGAGTTCCTCCAAATTACATTTTGGGAGCGAAATACAGAGGCTATTACAACAATTTCCCCACCATGTTCCATGAAATAGATTAACACTATGAATATATGATTCATTTGCATACTGCCTACCCTGAATTCTCTTTGTTAAAGAAGGTTGATAGCAAAGAAAATCTTCACCAACTCGAAAGTCTAGCCGCCATTGTCTAAGGTTTTCGTGACTTTGTGGGCGGGGCTTCGTATCCTTGTCGACATGTCAATTACAATTACAAGATTATAATAATTACAGGGTCATTCCGTGCCAACTCAACAAATGGGATGGCTGGGTACTGTCTCAGATTTTCTTAAAACTCGGATATAATGTGCACCAACATGTCTGACGAACAAACCCAAAATTTGACTTGCCAATTCCAAGTCGTTTAGAAGTTACGGCCATTTGAAATTTTAGGGTCATACCCCTTTTTAGCTATCAATTATGACATATTTGTAAAGTTGCATTTTCAATTAGCCATATCTCCAAATAGAATAAAGATAATTAACTGAAAATTGATAACTTGACTAACTTTTGGCTGTAGAACAGGAATATGACATGACTTTTGGTATACCGGACCCCGTTACGAAAATATTGGTTCATAAACACCCTAACTTATTTGGTTGCATAATTTTTCTTCCATTTTTAGCCCCCATTAAAATACCCAAATCAGTTATTAAATCGGTCTTATGCACCAAATTATTAATTTATAGTTGGAAATGTTTCACCACAAAAAATTCCGGATTTTTAACTTATCATTTTAGGGGGTAATCGTAGGTCAAAAGGTCATTCGGGACAAAAAATGCACAAAAATGCCGCGTTTTCATGGTGCCCTTTGACCCTGTGGGCAAGTACGCTAGTTGTTAAAACTTGCACCATTAATTAATTTATATATGATGATCAGATGTTCCAAATATCAGCTTGGTGTCTTTATGCCTTCATGTTTAAAAAGCAATTTGAAAGGGGGTATATTTTTCAATTTGTGTCAGTATCAGTGCATAAATGTGATAAAATTAATTTTTGAATAACGATAATATTAAAAATAATCTGCCTAGACCCTTGAAACTTATAATTCTAAAACAACTTTATGTGCTTATTTCAGGCATGCAGTTCGTTAAGGGATATAGTGTTTCATTAGTAAGATATGTCCCCCCAAAAAAGGACCAAGTACAAGAATTGCGCAATAAAATTGTATTTACTGTTGATTTCAAATGAGCATAATATTATCCGTGTACTGTCTAGAGCCGTGAAACCTTTTATTCTAGGACAACTTTTTGTGTTGATTTCAGTTATGCAGTCTGTTAAAGGGATAAATTGTTTAATTAGTAAGATATTATGTCCCAAAAATGGCCCAAGTGCAAGAATTGTGCAATAAAATTGTGTTACGATTGATTTCAAATGAGCATAATATTATCTGTGAACGGTCTAGAGCCATGAAACCTTTCATTCTAAGACAACTTTTTGTGCTGATTGCAGTTATGCAGTTTGTTAAAGGGATAAATTGTTTAATTAATAAGATATTTTGCCCCAAAAATGGTCCAAGCGTACTAATTAAACAATTTATTCCTTTAACAGACTGCATAACTGAAATCAACACAAAAAGTTGTCCTAGAATGAAAGGTTTCACGGCTCTAGACAGTACATGGATAATATTATGCTCATTTGAAATCAACAGTAAATACAATTTTATTGCGCAATTCTTGCACTTGGGCCATTTTTGGGGGGACATATCTTACTAATAAACCCTTAACAAACTGCATGCCTGATACAAGCACATAAAGTTGTATTAGAATTATAAGTTTCAAGGGTCTAGGCAGATTATTTTTAATATTATCGTTATTCAAAAATTAATTTTATCACATTTACGCACTGATACTGTCACAAATTGAAAAATATACCCCTTTTCAAATCGCTTTTTAAACATGAAGGGATAAAGTCACCAAGCTGATATTTGGAACATCTGATCATCATATATAAATTAATTAATGGTGCAAGTTTTAACAATAAGCGTACTTGCCCACAGGGTCAAAGTTCACCATGAAAATGAGGCATTTTTGTGCATTTTTTGTCCCCAATGACCTTTTGACCTAAGGTTTCCCTCCTAAAATGATAAGTTAAAAATCCGGAATTTTTAGTGGTGAAACATTTCCAACTATATATTAATAATTTGGTGCATAAGACCCATTTAATAACTGATTTGGGTATTTTAATGGAGTCTAAAAATGGAAGAAAAATTACACAACCAAATAAATTAGGGTGTTTACGAACCAATATTTTCGTAACGGGGTCCGGTATACCAAAAGTCATGTCATATTCCTGTTCTACAGCCGAAAGTTAGTCTAGATATCAATTTTCAGTTAATTATCTTTATTCTATTTGAAGATATGGCTAATTGAAAATGCAACTTTTCAAATATGTCATAATTGATAGCTAAAAAGGGGTATGACCCTAAAATTTCAAATGGCCGTAACTTCTAAACAACTTGGAATTGGCAAGTCAAATTTTGGGTTTGTTCGTTAGACATGTTGTTGCACATTATATCCGAGTTTCAAGAAAATCTGAGACGGTACCCAGCCATGATTTTCTGAAAATTTGTTGAGTTGGCACGGAATGACCCTACAACTAAAATATGCAGAAGGCAATTAAAAGGTTAGTTAGTCGGAGTAGTGGTTCACTGTGGGGTTAATATAGCATTCAGCATTACCCACCTGGATAGTATACTTGCAGACACCAAGAGTGTTCCATAGCTTGATAGTCTTGTCTCTTGATCCAGACACAATTTGACGATTGTCAGCAGAGAATGCAACACTCAACACATCTTTTGTGTGACCAACAAATTCACGAGTTGTATCGCCACTTTAAGGAATAAACCATTTCAACAGTTTAGAAAACAAAGATGTTACTTTACATGTTTTCCTCCATCATTTTATCTAATCAAACATTTTTTATTTTTTTTGTTTTATTACGAATCTTGTGCATGCTTGTGACATACGCCACTTAACACTCTGCCCGCAAAACACGGAGATCTATATGCTTGGTAACGCAATGCTTGACCGCCAAAAACAGATCTCCGTGTTTCAGGTTTTTATTTTACTGATTATGGATCACAGATTGTGATTACAATGAAGTGTTTGGTACCATTGTAAAGCTAAAATGTTTGTAGTTCATATAGTATTCACTACATGTCAATCTGGTCACATACGCACTCTCAATATGATTCGGAAAAGCGTCAAAATTTGCTAAAAAGTCTGGCAGTAGCATATACTATTTTTTCAAACCCCTGGCGGTCAGTGTGTTAAGGGAATACAGTACCATTTCGGAGCTCAGGAAACAAAGATGTTACTTTACATGTTTTACTTGTCTTTTCCTCATATTTTTGGGAATTTTTTCTCTTGCCTTAATTACGGATCTCGTGCACGCTTGTGATGTAAATTCTTTAACTAGAATTGTCATATAAATTCAATATCGAAACATAATACCATTCTGTGTATTTATCAGAGGTACGTACTTGTTTAAATCCCATAGCCTAAGAGTGCCATCCCAGGAACCAGACAAAGCAAACTGACCATCTGATGAGATTACTACATCTGATACAAAATGACTGTGTCCTGTCAGTGACCTCTGTGGCGTACCATAGTTTTCGTCTCTTGTCAGCTTCCACACGATCACAGATTTGTCTAAAAGATATATATATAATAAACATGTTTGCAAATATGTTAGATATAAGTTGATGAGGGAATTCCTTACGACAGCCAACTACCAAAATTCCTTACTTCATTTGATCTTTAATAAAGGGCATTTATACATTGATGAAGCATACAGTACAATGGAATTACTATATTGTAGTAAGAGTAACGCACATTTACTAAAGCATTGTCATGTAAGTTATTTTGGACTTATGTATAATAAATTCTTCCAATGGAAGATAAATTTCCTTATTTGTATTTTATGAGAAGGACAATGAAATTATCTACCTATTTTAACAAATACTCATCTACAAGTTTCTGACCCATTTACTTTGTTTGGCGATCACTTCCTATCTAGTCTACACTAGGCCTAGGCATTCAGTCAGCAACTATTGTGTTTTGGTAATTAAGAAATCGCCTACCAGTACTTTCGGCCTACCATCATGGTTTCATTTTTTATAGATCACGGTATAAATTACTTAATAAAAATTGAACCCAACCACACAACGCTGAGGATGGAGAGGCATGTGAATGTGTTGCGTGAAAACTTGTGAACTGTGAATTTGACCTAGTTTTGCATCAGAAATACGCCAGTACATGAGCCAAGGCAAGGAAATCTGTTTCTACTACATGTAATCATTTTCTTATTTAGGCCTAACTTCTGTTTTGATATTGAATAATTAATTCTATCAATCAGTTAAATCAATCAATCAATTATTTTCTTTTTCTATGATCAATCTGTCAATACTCCTTTTTTCCGCACTTTTTCAAACTTCCATGGAAATCTGCTTAGTGATACGCATGCGTAGTGCTTCCATCAAGCAAGCACATCTCCTTGGCCTAGCTCCTGCCTAGCCCTCATGTGCTTCTCCGATTCAGACCTAGGCTAGAACTTCAAGTAGGTCTTATCATCCAATCATTTATTAGCGGGGCATTTTACCGGGACTTCCACATGTAACCGTTTTGGAAATTACATCCCCGGCTAAGTCCTCGCTAGGCCCGGGTCCGAGGAGGGAGGGGGGAGGGAGTCTACAATTGACAAGTGCATTAACTATTTGTTTTAAAAAAAAAATCGCATGTCTACTACATGACATGTCTAAAATGTGTATGGTATTCTTATATTTTTTATGAGGCCACTACACTGGTGAATGATGAAGTGATCACTCCAAACACTGATCCTATGCGTATGTATAGAGATTTGTACCCCTCTCCCCCAAAAGATATTCTGAGCCACCTAGACTGTTCGGTAGGGCAGGTCTAATAAATGACTTAGACTGCCTCCCCCAGCTGTATAACATTTGAATTACAATGCATTGTATCAGAATCAGAAGGGGGCATAAATAGTAGTAGACTGTAGCTTACTTAACCCCAGGAATTTCTTCCTGGATTTTAAACCCTTCCATAACTTTGCTAGGCTCAGGAAAAGGACAGTCCCACCTATGTTCTGGCTGGGCCAGCATAGCCTTAGACAATGAATAAAAGCCTGCCTATAGTAGTATTACTGCCTATAGTCGTACTAGTTAGACATGCTTATTAAAAACAGCACGGCCAATTGTGTGAATGTGATGAGGCGTATGAGCCGACATAGCCCTAGGCTAGCTAGGCCTAGTCCGGGCCGGCTGGTTAGCCTTCAGACTAGCCTAGGCTGGGGTAGGGCCTAGGCCTAGACAGGACTCAAGGACTAGGCCTATATGCCGGCTTAAAGTTTTAGTTTGAAGCATTTTACCTGCATAATTTACACTTAAGCAACATAAGTTTAAAAGAGCTGTAAGCCTGTGTGTTGCCGACCGGAAGCCTAGTTGGTCAGTCAGTAATCCTCCTACCAGAAAAAGAGGGGATTTTCCCGTAATACACGAAAGAAACAATCCATATTGCCTTACCCCGAGAGCTGGATAAAATCATGTCTGGAAATCGTGGAGCAGTTGCAATTTGGGTGACCCAGCCATTATGGCCTTTAAGGGTACCTTTGAGAGTCATTTGCTCAGCCATTTTTAACCGTTGGTTTGTTGTTTTTTAGATTAAAGCAGATTTTTGTGGCACTTCGCCACGATTCTGGAACAACTCAAAATGGATGGGTCGAAAAGACCGATTTTGTTTGTTGGTTCAAACAAAGAGTATAAATAGAACAAGAGAGCAAAGTCCCGTTCGTAAAAACGTCATGCCTGTGTAGGACGCCAACTAACGGTTGTATATTCTTTTTATTACCCAGTGCAGCGCTGCGCAGCGCGGTAGA